GCACCATCCGGTCGATCCTCTCTCTCCATCCTCCTCTCCATTCTCCTTTTTTACCCACTATCCTTCCCCCACTATATCTAACAGGCTTCCCTTTTACTCCACCGTCACTCTCTCTTTCTTCCTCTTCGTCCTTTTGATTCTTCGATCTTTGCCTCTTTCTCGCTCGGGCACATACGGACTGACTCGATGTTCGTGTAATGTGCGTTCCTCCTGTGTCTCCTCTCTTTCCGTTCGTTTCTTCCATAGTCTTTTCGCGTGTCTCGGTTTAACCACGGTATCCTCGAGTGCCTCTTTCTCAGCCGGTGTAAAAAGGCGGTCCTCGTCTTGGGACCCCGGCAGTGCCGTCGCAATGGAGCCCTTGTGCTCTCACTCCCTTCACTTTCCTACCTTCTCTTTCTCTCTTTTTCTCTCTTCCCTTTGACGACCGCCCATTTCCTTTCCTTTCCTTTCCTTTCCTTTCCTTTCCTTTCTTTTCCTTTCTTTTCCTTTCTTTTCCTTTCCTTTCCTTACCTTACCCACTCCTATACCTTTCGAATAATATTCGTTTCTAGCGAATCTCGTTGATATTGAAAAGTATGCACGATTCTAAATAAACTCGTAAAATCGTAAATTTGTTAGCGAGCAACCGATGCTTTTCGTAAACCGTTACGCGTCGGAGTCTCTTCTGATCCTGTCCCTTGTTAGTCTTACTATGCAACTGTAAGTTGCAGCACTGTAAAGTTCTAGTGAGAAATGTTTCTAGTTCTGCTCTCTTTACGATGTAAGGCATTTTTACTTTGGGAAATTTATATGTCGCTGAAATCTTTCTCATTGTGACAAAATTTTACTCATACCATGATAGATTCACATACGCATATATGTGCACAGTTTCAGCTTCATATGTAGTGGTTTACTAAGAACAACCATAACTTGACACGTGCACTAATATATATACAGGAGAAATACATCAGTATCTCTCTGTTCTAGGTTGTTTCTAATCTGATATAAAAATTTGTTTGCCTTATGAAATTTGAC